ATTTTGAAGGTTCTAGTACTTTATATATATGCTTGAGTAAAATGATCATTTGGATTAATGTTTCCATATAAGAAAACAAGCATATAACAATTTAAATCATAAAAACTCAACCAACCAAATTTGTCGCTATATATATGTATGTCTAGTGCACAAAAAACACATAAATAGATTAATATTTCACGTGTCTTTTAATTAGACATTTGTTTTCGCTATAATTAATAATACATTGTAAGAAAATTAACAATTAAAGTATATAAATAATAATACAATGTAAGATAAATTAACGGCTAAAGTATATTTTAAAAGAATCTCTCAATCTAATGGCTAACGATTAATATAAAGGGGTAGTGAAGGTATGAGGGTTTTGATTATGAAGAAATAGGCACCAAATTTCACCTCAGTGAGGGTTGAACTGTAGTGAGGGCGTCCGTGGCACGGCGTGCAGCCGGCGTGCATGGCCGGAGGGGGTGGCGCGCCTTCGTTCGTGGCGAGGCCGGCGCGGCGGCGGCGGCGGCGACCGCCGCGGCGGGCAGGCAGGAGGGCAGGCAGGAGGGAGGGTGGGCGGTTTGCGGGCGATATTTACCTAGGCCTGCCGCGCGCGTGGACTATGGCGTGTCAGTGCCGTGCTAAGATCGGTGGCGCGGCAGACCCTAGCACGTCACCGGTCAGCGCCCCCGTCGTCGCCACGTCACTCCTCTCGCCGCGCCGCCATGCGTGGCGCGACACATGCGTTTCGCCGCGTCATGGCAATAGGCGCGGCCAAAAGTGTTAGCTTTGAAAAAAAAATTAAACAGTGTTAGATTTAAAATTAGTTTAAAAAAATGTTAAAAATAAAAAAAATATCACGCAGGATGCGGCCCAGGTTCCAGCCCTGTTCCTTGCAATCCCTATCCAACGACATACTCATGTTCAGTGTTGCACACTCGGCATCATTATTATTATACGAAAAATGCAAACTTTCATTCAGAACTTTATTCCCTAAGGACAACAATGCGCAGTCACCTGTGAACGAACAATCACGATTTTTTTCTCAAACAAAAAAGGAATTTTGCATGTTTTGTTCTAAAACAAACATAAAAGTACATGGGGGAATATGCAAATTGCTTTCATCCAAACCCAAAGCACACGCCCAATAGATAACTATTTACTCGGGTATAAATCTCTATCTCTTTGATCTATCTACTACACCTAAAAAGACTCTAAAGTTATCGTCCAAATCTTCTCTGCTCGTGCGTCCGCGTCCGATATGAACCATATTCCACTCGAAGCTCACACATCCGCGTCCGGATCCACGTGTCCTCGTCCAATATAAAGTCTTCAGAGCTCACTTGTCCACGTTCGATTACCGAGGTTTAATTAAAAAATTATATATCTAATGGTATATATATATTCTGACGAACAGACCTCTCTCTCCTTTCTCGTCACCCTTTTTAGTCAGGCTAGGAGCTAGGCAGCTAGCCAACAGTTGTCAAGCGACTAAGAGCCTCTTTGGCAGGGCTCCTGCAGGGGCTTCAGCTCCGGCTTCAGCAGCAGCTGTGCCAAACGTCTGTTTTGGAAAGGGCTCGCATGGGGAGTCGGTCAAGAGCCGGAGCCATTTTTTGCCTGCGCAGGAGAAGCCTAAAAAACGAGTTTCGCGCGGCTCCTTGCTGTGGGTTCACGTCGTCTAGTGCGAAGGAGTCATTTTACCAAACGTTTTCCAGAACGGCTTCAGCTCCTCCAGAGGAATTGCTCCTTCAGAGAGAAGCCAAAGCGAAAGCTATTTTCAGAGGAGCCAGAGCCCTGGCAAACAGGCCCTGAGAACGGACACGGCGCTAAGCGACCTGCGGGCGTCGCGGCCTGATGTGGTTGTCCAAACCCAATGCAAGTTGCTGGGCTAAGGCCTTTGCGGGTGCTCGAGGAGAACAAAATGGGCTAAATAGTTGCTGTTAATTTGGAAATCCTGGGCCAACTAATACTAGGCTATATATGTAAAGTTATGGGCTGGAACTAGAATAGATAAATGCTTGGGCTTCATTTCATCCTGTGCCTATTCCTAACGAAATAAACATGCTACAATTTAGATCACTTTCTTCGAGCATCTTCAAGAGTTTTCAAAACCAACTCTCAATCTTAATTTGTTGGCAAGACTGAAAAAAATCATTCTCTGATACTCCTTATCTCAACTTTCAATCTTTTCGTACTTAGGAAATTGATCCTATCGCACAGAAATATACGCGGGTTGTAAGAACGTCGGTAAGAATAAGAAGTAAGAGCAGGGTTTCCAATGTAAATATATAAGAGAGAAAGAAAGTATTAAAGCAATTGGTTGATTTGAAAAATAGTCTAGGATTCTAATTCAAAATTGTCTTCTATCTTTGAGGAGTGAGATTTTGGAAACTGTTGAAGGAAACCAGCAAATGTGCTCCCAACTTTTTTTAGCCACTTGGAAAACTCATTGATTTATCAATTGTTTTTTGTACTATTGGAGATGCTCTTATGTTACAATTTCCACCAATAATGATGAACTTTAATGTTAATTGACCAATATGTTGAACTGCTCCCTAAGTCCTAAAATATAATGTATCCAAGCATTCAAAATTTATCCTAAATTATATGAGTTTCTAAGTGAAAATCCCTCCAACTCACTTTAGAAAGGCAACATTCACATGCATACTTACTATTAATGTCTATCACCAATCCAAATAGAGTAATCAGAGAGGGCAACATGCGTCAGTTTTTCTCACATAATATGTCCTAAATTTGTAGGATATCTTGTATTTCAACACAGAGGAAGTAATTCATATAAGAAATAAACAACTCTACGAGTTTCAAAAGAAAATAGCGCTATAAGTAATATAAATATTTCATCACAGCAACACACGAGCATTGTGCTTGTTTATAGAAAAACAACAACACATCTACGCATTAATTGGTTTTTTGAAACTTTGCTTACTTGAGGCCTTTTTTATATTTTATTTTGTGAAAACATGTTATTTTAGTATGATTTGCGTCTAAAGCCATGATCGTTTATTCTCTTCCTGGTCTATACTTTATTGCCCCTTCATGTAAAGTCCCCAAATTTGAACCTACTCAGCTGGGACATTGTTTTGTGATAGCTCATTACTGACAAAATTTTCAACATAAAAGTGTTAGATCTTAGTCACTTAATCGTTAATTCCATAGGATCACGATTAGCATAATCTTAAGAACACCTAAAGCACTTTGGATTAGCACTTAGTTGCACACTTACTTGTGAGAGTAGGATGCCCCTAGGTAGAGTGTGCATTTCACACTCTAGTTACTTTCATTTCCTATGCAGAAGGCTATTGGTCCGTTCCCGACCTCATAGAGTTTATCATCCAACAAGTAGATCGGTGATCTATACGTAGGGAATTAGAAGGGTAGCACACGAGACATAGATGTATACTGGTTCAAGTATAGGGTATCCTACATATCCAGTGTGGAATGCTCCTTGTATATCGTATGCTCAGGGTTTACAGGGGTGCTGATTAGTCTGTCTAGGGTTGCAAGCTACAAATGTTGAAGGTCTATGAATGGTTCGCCGGCCCCTACCTCCTCTTATATAGTCTGGAGGTAGGGTTACAGATGGAACATCGAATGATATGATCTATGGTTTTCTAGTTTGTTACAAGATGATTCTATCGGATATGATTTGCTTGGCTCCCAAGACTATCTAACCTATATCTTGCTTTCCAAGTAGCCGATGGACCCTGTCATGTCATCATTCCCACTATTACACAAGGAAAAAGAAAACAAAAAAACCAGATTTATATTACACAAGGAATCCTATTTAATTTGCTTGCTCTCCTATCATGTCATCATTCCCACTATTAGCTTGCCCTAGCTTTTACTCTTTATTTAAAAAACAATAGTAAGGATACTGGATAGATAACATCAAACATTTTTCTATTACATATATAGTGTTTTTTATGCATATAGCGGAATACCAAGAAGAGGAAATATCAGGTGCGCAAATGTGTATTGGTGAAAATGTATACAAACACAATCTCATTCCTTGGATCTAATCAACACGCCCCCAGAGTTAGAGTTTTAGGGCGAAATCTTACGGATATTATGGAACAATTTAAAGAAAAATGTGAAAAATGGACTGACCTCTTTTTTTAGAAATGAAAATGGAATAATCTCTCTTTGTTGGAATGGAACGAAACAGAGGGAAATTGCATTGAAGCAAATTAGGAGATTGCACTGAAACACCGGCAACACAGAATACAAGCTGATTGACCTTATATATAATTACATATACCAAACAAACAAGAACGCACAAATTTCCTACTCCCTCTGTTTTAAATTATAAGTCACATTGATTTTTTTGCAGAGGGAAATTGCATTGAAGCAAATTAGGAGATTGCACTGAAACACCAGCAACACAGAATACACGCCGACTCACCTTGTATATAATTACATATACCAAACAAACAAGAACGTACAAATTTCCTACTCCATCTGTTTTAAATTATAAATCGCTTTGATTTTTTTTTTGTACATCTATTTTATTGTGCATCTAGATATATAATAATATGCCTAGATACATAGCGAAATGAATGAACTAAAAAAGTTAAAGTGACTTATAATTTAGAACGGAGAGAGTATAACCAAAACATAAGACAGGCCCACTGGCTCATACCAATACACACGTGATTAAATACCGTACGCAACGAGTCAAACCGGTAGTAGCAAAGTAACAAGCACACCACAAACACAACTCACCACGCCGGAGGCAATGTAGCCCCCTCCTGCGGGCGCCAAGCCGCCGTTACGTTGACGAAAGCAGCAGAGAGACCAAACAATAACACTGCACTATATGGATACGAAGCATCAGCCAGTTCGGTTGGCTGGTTCGTATCGTTGCTGGTTCGTGAAGAAGTACTGCTGGCTGATTTGTGTGAGAGAAAAATACTATTCCGGCTGGAAATTTACGATCGTTTACGACAAGCCACAGCCAAACCTCATCCAATCACCGCGTCTCGGAGTCGTCATCATCAGTAGTAATACGAAGACGACGATGACCCGCCGAGCTGGAACCCATCGACCTCGTCGGCGGCCGGCATCGGTGAAAACATTGGGCTGTGCACGTACCCTTCCTCGAAGTACATCCCGTGCGACGCGTTGGCCGCCGTCGTGTCGTCGTTGTAACCACCGAACTCTAGCTCAGACGCGTCGCACCACGCTCTGTTGTCGTCACCACCGGCGTCGTTGCCGCCTTCGAAGTACATGCCCATATCAGCGTTCCCGCCGTAGGCCATTAACGACGCGTCGGCAGCGCCGTAGGACGGCATCTCCACCGGCACGTGGTGGTACTGGTGATAGGAGGCCTCGTTGCCGGCGGCGCCGCCATGTGCCGACTGATCGCAGAGCGGCGTTGGCTGAGCCGCGGGTGCGGCTACGGGGTCGGCGTAATAGTAGTGCTGGAGCTGGTCGGCGGAGAGGTCCGGGGAGAGGTATGGGGTGACGGAGGAGCCCGGCGGCAGGTCGGGGTAGGCGAAGTTGGTGCGGGCGTTTGCGCCACGGATGTTGCGGGCGGCGCGGTCGTAGGCGATGGCGGCCTCCTCCGCGGTGTCGAACGTGCCGAGCCAGTGCCGCTCCTTGGTGGCCGTGTCCCGGATCTCTGCTGCGTACCGGCCCCATGGCCGCCGCCTCACCCCGAGGTACCTTGTCTCGTTGCCATTGCTGTCCTGTTGCTGCCGCTGCTGCTGCCGGCGCTTCGAGGACTTCTCCGAGGACGAAGACGAGAAGAGGTAGGAGAAGTCCATGCTCCCTCAGCCCTCACAGTCACACAGAACACAGAATACACAGAGAGTTAGTTGTGGTCGTTGTTGATGTGAGAGCTGAGACGGAGAGGAAGGTGGTTGCTGCTGGTGCATGGAGCGGTTGCATGGAGGAGTATATATAGGGGCGGGAAAGCAAAACTATATTATGATGAAGTAAACAATTGAATGGTGTGGTACTGATACTAATGGCCAATCTTAAGAATGATTAGCAGGAGTGAGGTAGGCATGGATGCGCGGGCCCCACATAAAATTTGAGTTGTTGGTGTGGTGTGGGGGCGGCAAAAGTGGTCAACCAATGACTTGGACCGGTGGTGGCATGGGCAGGGTGACTGCACGATGCATGATGGCATCAACGTCACCGACCTTCTCAACTTGCATTGCATCCGGCGCCGGTCTACTCTGAGCATCTACCATTCATTCTAACCGACTAAACCATCTTATTATCAGGAGAAGAAATGGATGTCCAATTATCTGTTTTGTCCAAATTCAAATTATTCGGTAGAATTTAAATATAGATATTTGTGTTCGCGTTCGTTAATTTCTGATATGCATGTATCTGGATATGGCAGGACTAGCGCCCGGACATCTAGACGGACACCCGTGTCCGAACGCTACGTGCACCCCGGGCCACCACCTGCGCGCGCTCGTCCGGCCACCACATCCGCGGGCATCGCGCTTGTCGGGTGTCCGCGTTATCGCGCTCGCTGAGCGTCCGTGTTATCGCGCTTGCCGAGCTCAAACTGCCGTGTCGAGATGGAGGGGAGGGGAGGGAAGGGAAGGGAGGGGAGGGGAGGGAGAGGAGAGGGCGAGGCACGCTGCACGATGAAAGAGTCGAAGCCCAGTGGCAGGACGCTGTCCGCTAGCCCCTGGTGCCATTGCAATATGTGCAACACCTGATGTACTTTTGAAACACTGAGATGGAGCATTTGCAACATACGTTTGAAGATAGATGAAACATGCGTCTGAAACGCTTTAAAAAAACCCTGAAAACACTTGAAAAGCCACTACAAAAATATATGCAACATCCAGATAAAACACTTACAACATATGTATGAAACATATGCAACATTCAGAAAAACACACTTGCAACATACGTCTGAAAAAATAGATGAAATATTTGAAACATACGCTTGCAACATACATGTTAGCCATTGCAACATATGCTACATCACGATCTACTTTTGAAACATGTATCTAAAACACTTGCAACATACCTCTAAAACATCTGAAACACTTGAAACATATACTTGCAACATGTGCTTTCAATAAACCCTGGCGGGTGGGTAGGCGGAGCACTACACAGCGGGATCCGACGCTAGGTCACGATGGAGGAGGATGGAGCCGCGACGACGCAGAGGAAGTTGGGCCTAGGACAGAGATGGCGACATAAAGCGCTTAGGGCCTGCCGCGCAGGCATGGGAGGAGGGCATAGGGGAGGCGGAGAGTGCGGTGCCGGGGAGCAGTGTAGAGAGGAGCAGGAACGGGACGCAGAGGAAGGCCGCCAGGAGCATCGGCTCGGCGGTCGGTGCGGGCATCACGGCTGCGGATGAGGAGAACCATGAAACGACCAATTGGGCGACAAGGAAGAGAAATACGTCCATTCAGTTTTTTAGATGGACCATGGGGGGCAACAGGTTAAGCTGGTCCGCAGGCCCGATCATTATCGATTCGGATATGTTTCTCATAACTTTTCTCTATCTGATTCTAGATCTATATTTGAATCATGTAATATCTGACTGTATCCATGTCCATGAGGATTATGGATATGATGATGAAACTATTTAAAAGTGTATTTTAGGTATTATTATTAAAATGATTGAAAAAAATTAAAATGCCATTGTCGGTGTGACTAAAAGAGTTAGGTCTGAAAGTAGATTTTATCATAGTTTATTATTAAAATATAGGTTAATAGTAAAAAATTCCTTACTAGACAACTCTCTCTCTCTCTCTCTCTCTCTCTCTCCAAAGCAAAGTTCTATTGTTTTCATTGAGGTAGGTACTTCCAGATGTGTTGAACTTCCAACTTGGTATACCTCTTGGAACTTGGTACTTGTTCTTTCACGAATTATGGAAGGTGTAAAAGTCACATATAGGAACTCTAGAATGTAAAATGGGCACCACTCTATCCACACTACTCCCTCTGTCCTAAAATATAGTCACATCTAAGATTTGTATTAAAACATAATGCATTCTATGTAATGAGTAAGCTTTAGATTCTGCAAAGTTTGTTAAAAAGGAAGCCACAATTTGTGAAGAAACTCCTTAATTATGTTTAATCTATGGGTACATGTGACATTTAAGTGTTCATTTAAGTTGTCTTAAATTTTTTAGAATGCAATATATTACAAGACAAGATGGAGGGAGTTGATGGAAACAACCACGTGATGGGAAACATGATAATGGTTAGAATTGCTCTACCTAGAATATGGGAAGTTCGAACCATGCATCTTTAGGATCCCAAGAGAGTTTTTTCTAGTATAAAAATAAAAATATTGCAATATTAAAAAACAAATGAGACATCGTAGTGTATGGGGATCGAGCTTGTGTCACACAAGGCTAATGACAGGGAAGCATGCATGAGGGGTCAAGAATACATGAGTCAATTTTAAATACGCCTTCAAAAATTACAAAAGTATACCTTGAATACACAGAGTTTCATAATTATACCCCTTGTCATTGGTTGGATGGAATTGTGAAGTCTTCCTGGTAGAACAGCCTTTAGAAAAAACATTGTTTGAATGGAACAAAATCAGTTAAAATCGTATAGGACAACATTTCTTTAGATTCTAGAGGAATGATTAGTAATAAATTCATTGGTCTATATGATGAGCTAACAACTCAAATACACATAATATCGGTTCATGGTTACAGTCCAACTATATAGACTCTAGAGAGCATGGCCTTTGTCCCATGTCCTTGAGTGGTTTTGGTGATTTGATATGACATACACGATCAATAATAGGATTAACATGTATGACAAGAACTCAAGAAGTGTTAGATAGGTTTACGTAGATTCTAGGAATGCTAGAAAAACAAGCACAAACAATATCTAAGAAGAAACAAAGTCAAAACAATCGCCAGATGAAGATCATAGAAGTCACCTAACTGTCCGGTGCTGTCTAGAGAACAAGCAATATAGGAGTTTCTATGAACAGGCGGATCATCGGATCGTCGACCGTGTGAAGTCAAATATGCAATGTATCGTCCAATGATGATTAGAAGCATGCAACATTGTTGGATGTAGTCACCTGAGCATGAACACTACCTTCACCGGATCGTCCAGCGATGTGGGACCGGCCTAGTGGCGGTGGCTCAAGTGTCAATGCATGGTCGGCAACAACTGATTATTACCTCACCGGATGATATGGACAGTTACCATAGCGATGTTGGATTATCATGTCGTGTTGTCTATGATATAGAACTTTAGCTCAACGGTTAGTTGTGTTTGGGGGCTATATATGGCCTTGGTTGGATGTTTTAAGTAAGTTGAAGATTTTAGAAGTTAGAAGTACTTGCTACACTTGAAGATACACTCCAATATAAGTGCTTAGTGATCATATCAAAGGCATTGTGAAAGAGATACGAGAGTGATTTGTGCATGTTTAAGCCTTATTTGAGAGAGAGTTGAGTTGATCTCTCGTAAGCTTGGCTTCACAACCATGGGGACTTTCACTACTAGGAATATCCACTTCTATGACGATCAGTTTTCGTCACTGAAAGAGCCAAATTATTCATAATTTCAGTTTTATGACGAATTTATGATGAAAAATGGTTCATCATAGAAGTCGCGTCATTCTTGCAATTTGGATAGATCTATGACAAAAACTTATCATCATAGAACTGCTTTGGCATGCGTGGCAGGGTGGCAGCCACGCTGGCGGGTGCTTTCGTTGGAGATGCTTTCCATGTGTACATGCTATAGCCGGTTGCATTGGAGATGGTTCGGGTACGTGTCACCTTCTTATTGCACAACGTGGCCATCTTTGGTTCTTGCACGTTTTAGGTTCTTACTGGACCACGTGTCGGGACCTTGTTGTTCCATATGTCAGTTTTCTATTGGCACACGTGTCGTGTTGTAGTTGAGTCACATGTCACTTGTTCATTGGACCAAGTGTCGTATTTTTATTAGTCCACGTGGCATGACTACAATACCCCGTGTGTCTTTCTTTTACTCGACCACGTATCTCGATGCTATACGTCCACATGTTAGTATTTTATTAGGTCACGTGTCGTGCCCTAAGCTACCCACGTTTCTTTTTCTGATTCGACCATGTGGTAGGATGAATTTGTACCATGTATTTTGTTTGTATTGGCCCATGTGCCCTATCATGGCTGTTACACATGTCATTCACTGGTTCGTTCACGTGTCAGATTCTTATTTAACAACATGCCTGTGCTGAATCTACCACGTGCACACCAATCATTACATCAGAGAAAATGATTTTAGATATACACTGCTGCACAAAACGACTACATACATAATTATATTGAACCTGAATCAAATAACAGTAGTTCAGCTCAGCAGCAAACCACTGATAGAGTTCACATATCAAGCCGCCAAAATTTCACAATAAAACAACAAACAAACCACATGTTCACTACATCAATAAGACTGAGAGTTACCAGCGCTTAAGAGCATGATATGCTCATGAAGCTTATCGTACTCCTCCTGTTGTCGTTTCTTGAACTTCTCAAACTCCCTATCAGTGTTTTCTACCTTCCTCTTCAGTTGATCCACTTGTTCGGTGAGGATAGCTAAACTTTTCTAATGAGCAGCAAGCTGTTCCCAAAGTCTGGAGCAGCTTGTCCTGATACCAGCATTCTTCAAAGAAAATGTGTTGCAACTGGCCTAGGAGAGGACCATGGAAACAATATCAGCAACAAGTTCTGCTCGTATAGTTTCCATAGCTTCCTACAAAAACCAAGGAGTAAACATTAGGAAGAGGACTTAAATTGCAGAACCAAGAGATTATTTCAGTACA